CCGTAACATCGCACAAGCGAGACCATCTAAGAAGCTTAGTAACTCTGCAGAACGCAAAGTCTTGCAAACTCAGGCTTTTAGCAGGACTGCTGAAGCCTCTTCTGTAACCCGGCAACCAACCACTCCAAGAGGGCTTTTCCAAAAGGACGTCATTCAAACGTCATTCCGACGTCACCGCAACAGCCAATCAGCGAAGGAATTTCCCTCCAGCAGCCATCCAGTAGCCACGAGAAACGACTCGGCTTTCAGCGGTCAACCAAGCAGAACGCAAGTAACGAACAAAATCTTATCTCTGCTGAACTGGTTTCGAGCTAATTTAAGCAGTAAATTTAAGACAAATTCTCTGCTTTGTGAAGTCTCTCAGGTGAATTCAAAACCACTCGTGAAAACGAGTGTTAGAACCTTGAAAATTCATGCAACTCCGTTAACTCATTCCTTCAATTTTCTGAGCTGTACATGTGTGTGTGTGTGTGTATGTTTGTGTGTTTTAGCTTAGTTTTGATGTAATCTAGAGTAGCCAATAAAATTCATGTTTCATTTATAAAGAATCATTGTTGGTGTCATATAATTTCAAGGTTAAAACTGTTGCCAAAAAGATCCCTTGCTTGCTGCCTAGCTCGTAGCTTACTCATAATAATTACTATAATAGCTTACAAATTATCATAATTGTGTTGTCCGTGGCCAGGGAAATACAAAGATTTAAGTTGTTAAAATACACTGAGGTCACGGCTCGCTGGACGGCCGTTGATTTAAAGTGTAAAATAACAAATTTGAAATCAGTTTAATCAGGTGGACCTCGAATTTTTCAGATCCGAGTCCTTTCAAAACCTGAATGAATTAATAATAATTAATTCCCTACAATTAAGTAATCAAAGTCATTACATAAAATAACACTAATCCTAATTGGTCATTGGTTTTGGTTCATTTAAAAAAAAAAAAAATTTTATTGATATTTTTCAGTATTGAATGGCTGATAAGGTTTTGTCCGGCATCTTCTATATATTTCACTAAATTGCAATTCTCTACAAAGGGCCTTAGAACTGGCAGACAGAAGACAGCATAATTAAGTTGGATTAGCCTCCACGTTGGGTTTTAAAATTCTCTTTCCGTAGGCAGCTCTCTAGGTTTTGGAACAGAACAGAAAAGCGAGTTGAATACAGTCTCGATTTTGTGCGTCAGTGTCCTGGCTATATTACCTGGAGTCCTGCTGGGTAATGCTCATGTGCAGTTCCCAGGTTGTGTCCTCTTCAATTGCACCGTGAGGCATCAGCAAACTCACACCTAGCAGAAGAGAAGACACACACACACACAC